TTGAAGGCAATTTGGTCAGCTAATTTTCCCAAAAAATGCTTCTATCCCTCTGAATTTGAGTTTTTAGCACAATTCAGTGAAACTGATCGATTTTTTTTTATATATATCCTCGTCTATAAATAGAGGTCACTGTTCATGTCTTGCTCATTCTTCTCCCCTTCCCAATTGTTCTGTCCAAAGGCTGCCTCCTCCAAGCTTCTTCAAGGAGTTGTTCAGTCAAGCTTCCTTAAGAAGCTTCACACCAAGCTTCTTTAAGAAGCTTTAGCAAGGCTTCCTTGAGAAGCCATTCTTCCTCTCTAAATAGGCCATTTCAAGAGTTCACTATTCAACACCCGTACCACCTTCATTACTCAAACCCATCTCCCATCACTCAATATCCATGGAAACTAGGAGTTCAAGGAAATTGGGCAAAATGTCGAAGAGTTCTAAGGGGTTGGTCTGAGGACCAGGCGGCGCCAGTAGTTAGGTGGGTGGCACCCATGATGGTAGAGGGGTAGTGGGTGGCGCCTATGGAGTGGAGGTGGGCGGCGCCTCTTTGCTTGTTGTTGGTTCCCAAGCTTTGGGCAGTGGAGTCGAGGAACAGAGAGGAGAAAATAGAGGCAGTGCCCACACTTCAAGCGGCATTGGGTATGATGCAGGCGAAAGAGTGCTTGGCCTTGTCGAGGAGCAGCATAGAAAAAGTGCACCAGAGGTCCCTGTGGGCGGCGCCCAGGCCTCAGGCGGCGCCAAGGGCTTGGGTGATCTCCCTTTAGACTTCGGAGGCTTGGGACTTTCTCCTCGTGGTGGTTTTGGCGTGGCCTGGAAAGCTGGTGAGCGACCCTTCGAAACTATTAGTACGAGATTTGGCACGAGCAAAAAGGCTTCAATTAATCCATTTGGTGCATCGAGAGGGACCCTAGACATAGGTGGGCAGCGGAGTGGATCTTCAAAGGAGACAGAGGGTGCCGGTCATGGGCTGGACGGCGCCACAGGCGACGCCCATGGTGCGTTGGGCAGCGGCCCAGACTCTACAGTAGGCACCCCAGGCGTAGTGCAGTCCCCCCTTCGCGAGTCCAAAAAGCGATCGATCACCGATCTGCATGGGACTAGCTCTCAAGGTATGTTGCAGTATTCTTTTTACACTTTTGTTGTCATAATTATTTTCTTGAGCTACGGCCTGAACTTACTTTTGCGGATATTCATCCAGGCGAGAGGGAGAATTCTCGGGACTCCGANACTTTCGTTGTCATAATTATTTTCTTGAGCTACGGCCTGAACTTACTTTTGCGGATATTCATCCAGGCGAGAGGGAGAATTCTCGGGACTCNATCCTTGTCTATAAGTCGAGGTCACTATTCTCATTTTCCTCATTCTTTTCTCACTTTTGGAGGCTTTTCTCAAATGGAGTCCTTCCATGCCTACTTCATTGAGCTTCTCCAAGAAGCTACCTCACTAAGCTTCCTCAAGAAGCTTTGCCAAGGCTTCCTCAAGAAGCTTTGTCAAGGCTTACTCAAGAAGCTACCTTCTCTATTTAAGGACTCCTCAAGGCTACCGTTCACCTCATCTTCCTCCATTTCTCTCTTTTAGTCTACTGTGCCACACCTTAGTCTTTGCCATCTTTCAATACTCATGGAGACTAGGAGCTCAAAAACACGTGGGGCGGAGCGAAGGAAAACTGGTGGCCTTGATCCCATAGGCGGCGCCCATGAGGAGGGAGGCACAGTGGGCGGTGCCCATGCCCAGGCGGTCGGCGCCCATGCTTCAGGTGAAGTCCATCGTGATGCAGGCAGTAGAGCACTTGAGCAATGAAAAGGGAGTGCATGGGTCTTCATGGCGGCGCCAGGGGCTTAGGTGACTCCCCTTCGGGGTTCGGATGCTTGGGTATTTCTCCTTGTGGTGGTTTTGGCGTGGTCTCAATAGCTGGTGAAAGACCCTTTGGGACCATTAGCGTGGGATCTGGTATGAGTAGAAAGGCGTCAAACAATTCTTTTAGCGTAGTGGGAGTGGTCCAAGGTGTCGAAGCGCAGCAAGGAGGATCCCTGAGAGAGACAGGCGATGCTTGCCCTAAGCTGGGCGGCGACACCCATCGTGCACTGGGCGAAGCCCCAAGCTCCCCAAACAGCTCCTTAGGAATACCAGGTGGGGTTCAATCTTCCCCTCGAGAGGTTAAGAAGCGGTTGATCAGCGACTTGGACCATACGAGCTCTCGAGGTATATTTTCTAGTATTTTTTTACTCTTTTGTCGACACAATTACTTTCTTTAGCAATGGTCTAAACTTGTTTCTTGCAGGTATTCACTCAGACAAAAGGGAGACTGCTAGGGACCCTGATGGAGGTCTAGATGCCGGGGGAGGCGACGGTTCCAAGGTAGCTTCTATACTTACTTTATTTGACCATGAGGAAGATATTGATGCCATAGTGTTTTCATACCATATTCCACCTTGTGTGACTTGTTGTCGTGCTGAGGCCGACAAGCCTGCATGTTGTGACTCTTTGGGCAAGATTGTTGTTTACGAGGGCATGTTGGAGGCGGGTATACGGTTCCCTATTCTTGGGCCTATATGTTAGGTTCTCAAGCACTTGTCAATAGTTCCAGGGAGACTGGCTCCCAATGGTAAGAGAGTGATTTCTGCATTTTTTGTATTGTGGTAGTTGGTACATAGTGCTACCATCCCTCTGTCAGTCGAGAAGTTTC